TCCTTTCTCCAAGCTCAAATAAGAGGATCCGCCAGACAACAAGAGAAATGGTAAAGGCTTGTGGCTTGTCTTCTAAATGTATTCTATTTTTCATCTTTTCTTTGGGGGGTTGTTGGTAGGTGGAGGAGGATGTTGCAGCAAACGCAGGCCTTTTCCGGAGATGAAAAAAGGTCCGGTAGTTTGAGAAGCAGCATCTGTCCCTTTTCTTCTCCTCTCTCCCCTTTAATTACACAACACAATAGCCACGAGATGTGCCCATAATCTGCAAGCATAATCAGCCTCTCTTTTCTCTCTTCCGAGCCCCTATTCCGTACGCTAATTCAATATAAATGTAAATTAACATGCAAAAAGAATAAAGAAATCTCAATCTATTTACATGACTAATCACAATAAATGCGTTCCACATGAAATATGAATGAATGCATCACAATTATGGGGAAAAGGGGGTGGTGGGTGTCAGGCAAGGAGTGCTTTAGGAGCTATTGAAACTTTTTTTCTTTTACAGTTTTCTCATACACATTTGTGTGTTTGTGGGGTGATGCACAAGTGTCTGTAAATGGCAGGTTAAATGTGTTATAAATAAATGTTTAAAACTGTTAGTATCATTGGGGACAACACTTACAATAGTGAATATAATATCTGGTGAATATAATATCTGGTGAATATAACCCAAAGTAACTGAGAGGTCACAATGGTAGCTTTACCCGTTCTGATTCTTAATACTGAATGAAAATGTCACCTTGCTAAATGGCAATGTTCATTAAGTTGGAACAAAAAGCAGATAAAATACTGTCAGAACTTAATTCCTGGTTGAACTGATATCTGAGCTGCAACACCAACAGTTAATCACTGGATTTGCAGAAGTATTTGAGGTTCATTGATTCAAGTCTTTAAAGGAGATCAGAGTTTGAAAGTAAACAGTTAATTGAAAGTAAACCTGATATATACATAGAAATCTCTGATTCTGCTTTATTTTTTATCTATGAAATAATCAGTACCTATTAGTTTTTAGAATTTAAATTTTTATCACAATTTTATTACAACAATACATTTTCAGCTTATTTACATGTGTGTTTTTGTAAATAATAATAGCGCTGTTATTATTGTATCATCTATGTCAGTTCTAACTGCTTGTAAGTGGTAGATAAAAGCAAAACAAATGGTGAATGATCACTTCATTTATCAGCCAGACTGTCTGTCTACCCGATGAATCCTGACCAGAATAAACTTCAAATGTGACCAGACTTCAGGGCCATGCACAGAGGGGTGGCCCGGTGGCTAGAGCCACTTCCCCTCTGCCCTTTATTGGCTGAAGTGCCCCTCTTGAACCCCCCAGCACACCCACCCCCCACTGAACGTGATTGGCCCCCCCGGTGCCCTCCCAACACCATTGGGCTGGAGTACTGTTGATCTGACAATGCCTAATGCCATTGGATCAGAGCGTTGTCAATCACTGCCTGATTCGCTGCCCATTGCTGCCTGTAAATTTGATAATGCTCAACAGCTCTGGATCAGAGCACTATCATTGCTTTGGCAGTGTAAAGCCTTTTGCCATGCTAAAAAAAGCTACTGGAATCTGAATCTGTCAATCTCTGACAGCGATGTGGAGTTTTTCAAACGACTCGACCTCAGACCACATCTCTGCTCAAATGGTACGTAAACACTCAGTAATATATTTTGGAGTATCACCCTGAGTCAATATTTATTCTGATTACTTTCGTGTGACTGATCAAGCTATTATATGTAGCTAGTATGAGTAACAAAATGCATGTTCAGATTTGACCGTAATAATAATGCAAAAACTGACACTTCAAATCAACATTTAAATGTCAACTTTTACAAAAAGCAGTCTTTAATAGTCTAAATACTATATATATCCAAAAAAACAAATACAAGTAAGTAATTAACTTTGAAAACATATATATATATATATATATACACACACACACACATACATACATACATGCATATACGGCTGAGCAATAACTGCCCCACCCCCAGTGATTTCGGCCACTGCCCCTCAAAATTTCTGTGCACACTGCACAGCCCTGCCAGACTTTATAATGATAGTCAAAAGTTCTCCTTCTGCGAGACTAAATGAGAACAAACTGAAAAGGAGGATTTTGTGAAAAGTAATAATAATAATAGAAACACAATGCACAGGAGTATTATCAGGGAAATGATGAACACATTTTGGTAACTTTGAACAGAAATGGAAAACTACTGTCCAAATCTTTGTAAAATCAAAAGGAATTAATTCAGGGTAAATCCAATATGAAACAAACTTAATACTGTATTATACCAAACAACCGGAAACAACTTTTGAAAAAAATTGTTCAATAACGTAATTTGGGGAATTAAGCATTGAAGTGGCAAGGCAAGGAGGTCAGCTGAAATGACAGACTTTTAGTTTAAATCTCATAACTTTTGACTAGAAGCAGAAGCTGTTCAAGCAGAATACATAAATGCAATCAATTCAGTATCCTGAATGGAGGTAGTCTGACATTAAACAAGCTTTCAGGAGGAAGGAACTTAGAAAGGAACGTTAAAGCACTATTATATAGATTATACTGATTGTGTCTTTCTAAAACAAGCAATATTCCTGATGTGTATGCTTTTGGGACATTTCAGGAATTAAATAATAACCAACCTGATCATGTTTGTTTTATGGTTCTAGGTGAGCACTGACAAATATTTGACATGAATGAAACATTTAAACTCAATTTATTTATTATAGACTGCTAATGTTCCATATCATTTGTCTGTTTTATGTGGTACAATAAGTTGCAGTGATTAAATTAACATAATTCATGAAGGTTGACTAAATGATTGATTGTGCATTGAATATGATCATCACAGATTATTAAAATGGAGTAGACTTTGCAGAGTTTGTGTGTTGGTACACTGATGTCATACAAAAATTATGTTTTTCTATTTGTGTTTACTCTTTCTCAAAAGCAATGCAGAAAAATATGAGAAAGAATTAATGCCCTGAAGCAAACTGGATGATGTCAGATTTGAAATAAATAAATAATTGCCCAAAGATCATGGTAGAGCCTGTGCTTACATAAACACTGCGTTCCAGCAAACACAACATCAAGCTTCCTTCTGTTTGGGTTTGTTTGTACTACTAATTGTGTAACTCTGAATTGTGTTTTTCGGTTTTGTGTTTAAATATTTTCTGTGCGTGCTGAGATGAGGAAACGTCTCCCTGCTTATAACGTGCCTTTAAAAAAGCAGCACAGCCAAATATCTTCTGCTGTAATGACTTGTAATAAGAAGTGTTTAGAAACCTGTTGTCCAACAAACGAGAACATTATAACATGTTTTTACTTCACAACATCAGTCGAATGTTTGAAATAACTCCCTTTTGTTATGATGTGGCTTCTTATCACAGAATGAGGTAGAAAATATATTCTATAGCTACTATAAAAAAGGCTGTTGATTAGCAATGGATAGTAAATATACTTATATTTTATGAATATTATGAAAACACCCGAGATGGCTTGAAGAACAAAGATAAACTATATCACAGTTGAGTGTTTATTGTCTTCATGTTTCATCATTCAAAATGTTTCTATCTTTTTATTCAGTTACAGAGATAGCTGGATGCCTTTGTCCATATTAGGGATTTCCTGTAAAGTCATCAGTTCTATTACAACTGTGATGGATACTGTATGTGGAATTTCTGTGCGCCTCCTGCTTCCATGTGTTACTGTCTGAATAATGGCCAATTCATCCTATTTTGGGTAAAAATGGGAAAAATAATACTTCTCTCAAAATAAATTCGAAAGTAAACCTATGATAATCCATGTTTTTCTCCAGTGTATAGAAGTGTACAGGAGGTTTTTGTTGTTGTTGATAATTTGTTTGAAAAGAAATCGCAAATTAAATTGAAAAAAAAATAAAAAATGAGAAACCATCTGACAGAACCAAACTGAATGGAAAACCATGGTTAAAAAAACGAAATATGTATAAAACAAGGAGAGTGCAAAGAGACTGAGGCCATGTCCACACGTACATGGGTATTTTTATAAACAGAGTTTTTCCTTCTGTTTTTAAAAAAATCTCCGTCCACATGAAAATGCAAACGCATGCTATGAAGCACTGGCAAGAGCATGCCAAACCAACAGGTGGCGATATAATCTCAACCGTAAAGCCATGTTTGCCAATCAGAAGCCTGAAAAAGTTTCCAGTAGGCGGAGATAACAGCGCAGGCTCCGACGTCACAAGCCAAAAACTAAAAAACAAAACAAAAAGGGCACTTCAGAGTGAAAACAATAAGGGCCGCCATATTGAAGGGTCGTTTCAAACCGAAGTTCTCAAAACTGGCCACTTCAAAGGGCCCTGATGGACACTTCGGGCTCCCATGATCCTTTGTGCAGATTCTTTGCATGATGACGGCACCTCCGTGTGGGTACGTGATGACGACGCAGAAGGGCACTTCAAGAAATAGTTGTTTGGTCCCCTACACCCTTCAACCCTTCAAAACTCTCACTCTGGAGAGTAAACCCTTTGAAGGGATTAGGGCATAGGGATGGGCCCTTCCGAATGGAACGCAGGTGATAACACTGCAACCGGAGTTTTTGAAAATCTTCACCCTGGCAAAGTGTTGCCAAGAGAAAAAGCTGCGGTTTTAAAAATAACCGCGCTCGTGTGGACAGGGACTGAGTGTCAGAGTAGTAACTTTAATTGTACATGAAGAGAAATGTTGTCTGTGACGAGTGGGGCGGGGGACTCGAGAACGGTGAGTGGTGCAGGTGTCGCTCATTATCATTTACTCATTATCATTTACCCACCCCAATCGTCACATTGTCATACTCCAAAAAATAAAAATACTCACCAGTATTCTAAAGATGAAAAGGTAAAAATAAATAAATACTCTAAAGACTGAATTATATTAGAGTGTGCATTCGAAGCACATGCACAAATCTGCAAAAGTGAAATTATAATAACATTTCATGCAAATTCATCTGATCTGTGTCTGGTCTTGCTCACAGGTATTTCTGATGACAATGCATTGGAGGAAAGCCGCAGACAGAATACCCTCACTGGCACTGGCCCACACAACAGTTACCTCCGAAATGTGGCCCAGAACCCTTCAGTGAAGGAGGAGGAGGAGGAGGACAGAGGCCTGCAGAATCTGGGACTTGCCAGAGGTTTGTGTCCCAGCTGGATGCTGTGCCTGTAGGATAAAGGCCAGGATCAGAGGAGCAGAGCCGTTTCATGCAGTGTTGATTCATAAAGATGTTCAGTTTTGTATTTTTCAAGGTTGCATGAGCGAGTCAGAAATGAAAAGATATGATTTGTCAGCGTGGTGGAGATGGCATCTACTTGATCATGAAATGTATTTCAGCAGGCAACTTTTATAGCTAAAACAACTTGCTTTTGACTGCTTCAAGCACTCAACAGTATCTGGAAATACCAAATGGGCTCCAACAAAGACATTCCAGTGGAGTTGATGATTTAAAGTGATCGAATTCTTCTCTTCTGTGAACCACAGTTAATGTCTATAACAATTAGAAGGATGTTTTCAAATATTAGTCAAGTTGTTTTGGTTATTTTCTGTTGTTTTATGGTATTAATGAAAGTCAAAACTCATCAGATTTTCTCATAGCAAATCACTTTCATTTTTTGTAGGGATTTATGACGCCAGGAGAAAGAAACTATTGTTGAAGGAATCAGACACCAAAAAGAAGCGGATGCCAAGAATGGCTCCTCGGATTGGGGTGTGGTTTTAACAATTTTTACAATATATATACATATATTTGTGTTGTCTATACTGTTCATTTTCTAGAAACTGAGGGGATATATAAAGACATGCCTATTAAATACTGTCAAACATGCTCAAATTATTATTTTTAAATAGCATACATAGAAAGCTTATTTCTCAATGTTCTGCTTTGACATGTTGCATTCATCTAGCGTTGTCAAAGTCAGTATGACCCAGTCGCAGTCACATCAGCTCATTGTAACTATTTTCTCCATTCTATTTTTTTTTCTTGGATAAAGTTCAAAACAAATTGCATTTAACCAACCATATGATTTAATCATCTGGTGATCCATCACCATGCATGTAATGCAAATGATCTTTCATTATCCCGATTTAATGTGTAAAAAGCAATCACACTCACTGTTGTACTTACTTTATTCATGGTTTTTAAGCATATTGTGGGACATTCCCCTGCATTGCTGTGGAATTGAAAACAGGCAATCCGAGAGAGAGAGAGCCTAAACACATCACTCATGGATAATTAAACCCAACTGAAATACATTTATTCATGTTTTAAAACACTAATAGATCTCTTCATTATTCTTTAAAATGATGTTCAGGTTACTAACATGTCTGTTTTCAACACTTTGATATATTTTTGATGAAGAAAATAATTCATTATAAACATAAAAGTGGGGCACTTTAAAGTTTGTGTGTTTGCCATACATTTGGCGCTTTATACATTTTGTATTAAATGATGGAGCACAAACTCAGGAATGACATGTAAAATACTTGAAAGCATAAATATGGAAGGGACAAATAAAAGATAGCTTGATGGGGGAATATAGAACAGGTCGGACTGCTGCACTGAGATAGGAAAGAGAGAAGGACAAGGGAGAAAAAGAGGGGGAAAAGACTTTTTAATTATTCATTCACCAATGTGAGAGAACACATTTTCACCAGTCTGCCTTTTGATCCAGTCTTAAGCACTGTATCAATATTTCAGAGAAAACTCCAGATGTGGTATGTCCTTTCAGAACTGGGAGCATGGCTTTAATTTTACCCCGTCTACTGCATGTATGTTTCGTTTTGTTTTTCGATATGAAACAGAGACTCAAATCTGTGGAAAGATTAAAAAGGGAAATAAAAATGAAGCCCCACAACGACACATTTTTAGTAATACACATTAAAAAGTTTCTACTCTGATGTGTTATAGCCAAATTTTGCTGATGCTTTATGTATTATTTGTTGATACAAAATTTAAGCTGTTAATTGGTAGTGGTGTGAACTGAGGCAGTTTTAGTCAAGTACTGTTATTTTCAAAGCCATGAACGGCTGTTCATGCTCTACAGCAACAACTAATAAATTGTGTTTTGGGGGAAAAACACTCAACACAAAACATTTTAACCATACTAGACAATGGCTTGTTGTTTACTTACAGTTGTGAAGGTTTTTCTTTGTAATATTGGCCAAAAAAAGCTTATTTCTGAAGCGTGTATGTATAGTTATTTCTTCCTTTTTTTTTTAAAACACACCAATAAAGCCTGAAAGTCGCACATTCTGGTATGTTCTGTGAATGTATTATCAATAATTTGTAAAAAAACAAACAACAAAAAAACATTTTTTTGTGTATTACATATAATTGCCAATGTACCAATGCTGCTTGTGGAGTACAGTGTTATTCATGGCAAGGTATGTGCGCATGACCTGTAGAGTAATTTGGGTCTTGTTTGGTTGACTGAAGTCTCTCAGGGCTTAATTAGATACAGCACAGCGGCAGTCATATCGGTGGCTCACCTTCTCTCCATTGCTTTCAATTTGCAACCTGTCTTAACTCAGATTAACATACTGTAGATCCTGATGGGAAGGAACGCTTCAAAATCAGGAGGTTCTTGCTGATTGAGAAAAGAAAATGTCAGTGCTGTCCTCCCAAAATTAAATGCACTGTTTATAAATGTGGCATGTATGGATCTTTGAAGAAGGTGTTGCCATATTTTACAGTAATACTCCAAATTCTTGCTATCTTGATGCATACACTTGGTTCAGTTATTATTAGCATGATCTCTGATTTTTAATTTCTAAGATTTGTCAAACCAACAGTGGCAAATCAAAATCATTCCTCAGAGGTGAAACTATCAAATATAACATTGCAAAGAGTTTATCCAAAGAGCTCAGAAACACTTATACAGCTACAACTGACCTTAATAGTTTCATACTGCTTTCATATAATCACAATTAGCATATCTGTAGTAAATGGAGGTCTGTGAAGTAACATTAGGTGGAGATGTTTGTCAGTACAGCAAAGAAGGAAACACTAAAGTGGTGTTATCTATCAGGGAAGTCGTGGCCTAATGGTTAGAGAGTCGGACTCATAACCCAAAAGGTTGTGGGTTCGAGTCTTGTACCAGCAGGGATTGTAGGTGGGGGGAGTGTATGTACAGTGCTCTCTTCCACCTTCAATACCACGACTGAGGTGCCCTTGAGCAAGGCACCGAACCCCCAACTGCTCCCCGGGCGCCGCAGCATAAATGGCTGCCCACTGTGTGTGTGTTCACTGCTGTGTGTGTGCACTTTGGATGGGTTAAATGCAGAGCACTAATTCCTAGTATGGGTCACCATACTTGGCCACATGTCACGTCACTCACGTCACTCACTCATCTTTTAGAATGATCTGTAATCCTGTATTAATTTGACCTAAAATATTATCCAGACTTCTGGATTTAAAGGTCCCATATTTTACACCTTTCTGGAGTTTTCTTTTAGGTTTTGATGTCCTTAAGAATATATATTTGCGGTATAAGTACCAAAAACCATCTCAATATTTTTTTAAACCTCCTTTCTCAGGAGCTCTTCTGAGAACAGGTTGATTTTGGTCTGTCTAATTAATATTCATGAGCCTCTCTTCTGATTGGCCTGTTGTTTTCTGAGTGACGCACGGCCAGGCCAACCACAGGTAACTAGGGTCAGCGATGTCACAGCGCTAACTGGAGGCAGCAAAACAAAGGGAAAACTGGAGGTGGCCCATTCAAACCAGCGCAGATTCGGCTACATAAGGAGCTTAAAACATCATCTTGTTGTGATGTTGGGTGACAGAATCGACGTAATAGCCTCAAATTAGAAATTTGATCGCATATCTGCTGCCACTGCCAGACAAAAAACCGACGACAGCTGTGGTTAAACGCGATAAAACGAGCAGACTGGACAGAAATGATCGTCAAAAATGCTCGCATTTGTAGCGCACACTTCTTATCAGAAAAGGTTAAATAAAGTATTGTCTTTTGTTGTTATGGGCGCGTCTACAGATTTCTTGCCATATGTCTATGTTTCTTGCATCTCACGACTATGTCGTGTATGAAATAATGTCTGTGTGCATGTGTGTAAAACAACAAACTGACGATTTATATATAATCATTTGTAATTGTATATACATTGTTGTGATTAATTGTGGCTGGAACAATAATGTAGCTGTAAAAACCATTCCCCACTGAAAGTGAAATGTATATACATCTTCATCATGATTAGATAGACATGGTGAGTTTGTCTTTACTATACACGTTAGATGTGATCCACCTCATAGTAACAATCCTGCCAGATCGTCCATCCTTTGAGTGAGAGAGTAAAGTTACAGGTCAGCCGATCTGGTTTCGTGGTTAAAGTGAACCTTTTCGACATGTGTCCGTGTTGTTGTTGTTGCTCAGCAATGGCATGGACGCAATGTTGTCTGGGGGTTTGGCAAAAGGAGAGTGGGACGGTGGGCGGTGCTCGGGGTGGTGACTGAAGGCGGTGACTGTGTAGTTCTGACCTCAACTTTTTACGGAAGTCACAACGGTTAGTGAAAAATCACAGCTACTTTAAGCAGGCTGTGTGAATTTTACTGTGGACTGACTGTTTTGAAACTTGTATCGTAGTTACATAGCACCTACCTCAGTAATCATGAAAAAAGCCAGGAAATTTCAGTTTAGACAATATGGGACCTTTAAGATGGATTTAGGCAATAAAAAGAATAAGAGGGCTGCAATAATGTTAGGACTTGACTTGAGATAGATCTATCTAAAGTTTTAAACAAAGCATTGCCAAGCCCACATTCAAATTTTGTCTTGACAAACTTGTTTTTCTAGTTAAAATGTATTCGAATCAAATCATTTTAAATTCAAATTGCAACTTTGCATCCTGCTTGCTTCCTCAAATCAGATTCAATTCAGAATCAGGAACTGGAACTGTAAGCTTGTTCACCTAGCATCATTTTGCTAATATTTATTCAAGTGTTACTTGTAGTATTCGGTGTTCAGTATTTTACAACAATTGGTGAAATAGTACTGACATGATTCCTTTATTTGTTTAAGGTTAGGGTTATAGGGCTAGGGTTAATGATTTACCTAATTTTTCATGTAGTGTTTATTTTGTGAATTCATGATCACTGACAATACTTAATGTGAGACACTCCTGTGGTTTCCCGAGATCTCTCAAATAATTGTTTCATGTTTTATAGCTGAACAGGTGAACAGCTTCTGTGAGGAAGAATATTAACCAACAGTTTCATTAAACACTGCCTCACATGACTTACTGCTTTATCACGACTCTCTTACCACAGCATGACTGTGGTTGGTCAGTTGCAGCAATTAAGACCATATAGTACTGCAGGTAATTAAAATGTGAATAAAAGTTTTCACAAATGTTTTCTGTACACTATAGAGAAATATTCTGCTCCACTTAAAGTATACCCACAGGCATTTGGCACAATGTGAAAAATGATTTAGAATTATGTCCTGTTTTATACTGTGTGATGACTAAGACCGTCTTGGTCAGCGGATAGCAATCACTGCCGTAGGCTTGCAATGTTAAAAACAAACAAACATTGTCTTTGTGAGATGGAGAATGAAGGAAAGACAGATTTCAGAGAGTTGTCTGCCCCCTCACCACCCACACATCGACCCATCTCAGGTAAACAATGCTCTAACACACAGCTCCCCTGTGAGATCTTTCCCTCTTACTCCGCTTTCCCTCCATCTCCTCCTGTCCTCCTGAGGCTTTTCTCTTTTTTTCCCTTATGCCTCTTTTCTCCCCACCTTTCTTTGGTCTCTGCCTGAGGACAATATGCTTCTACATTAGCCCCAATTGGTTTCAATCAGCTTCAGAGATCTCTTTAGCATAGAGACTTCACATGATGATTTCCATGTGAAACTGCTTTTATTACCTTCTCTATCTGTCTCTGATTAGCTCAGTCATACTGTAACAGGTCTGGCCTACAGTGGTCTGTACTACCAGGGTCTGGATACTTCATTGTACCTGCCACAAATATCCATTCTTATAGATTCACTGGATGCACACATTTTGCTTTTACCTAAGACTAAAGGGATAGTTCAGACAAAAATAAAAATTCTGTCATCATTTACTCACCCTCAAGTTGTTCCAAACCTGTATGAGATTTTGTTTCTGCTGTTGAACACAAAAGAAGATATTTTGAAGAATGTTGGTAACCAAAGAGTTGCTGGTAGCCACTGACATCCATTTTTTCCATACAATGGCAGTCAATGGAGGCCGGCCTGTTTTCTTTTGTGTTCAACAGCAGAAAGAAACTCATACAGATTTGGAACAACTTGAGGGTGAACAATGTTAGAATTTTTATTTTTGGGTGAACTTGGGTGGTTTGTATCGTCATTTCCCCTATTACCAGTATTAAGATTGTACCCAAAATACCACATTATAATGTTCAACGTCATTAAGCCAACTCATGAAATAAAGGCCCTAAAAAAATCTGTGCTTGCGCCTTCAATTATGCTTTTATTTACTGACCCTTAATAGCAAGCAATGCATTAATTTGCTTTTGCATGTCCAGTAGTTATCACACTTGTGCAAAAGAAAACGTTGACACAGCATCTCAAGTGGCATTAGTTCAATATGAGCAGACATGATTTATGAATGGGCTTAGCACAGTAATTAGCTTGCTGTTTTATGTATCCACAGCTAAATTCACAATGTGAAGTAACAGCTAGAGTGCCACACTGCTTTGGGAAGTCTGATCTGTGACTCAACTCAGAGCTCTCAAACTCATTTCTCAATAATATACTGTATGCTTCAGGGAGAATGAAATATTTAAAGATAAAACGTTATCTAAAAAGATAAAAATAACTTTAAACATTTAACTCATTGTGCAGGATTGTGGAGCTCTGTTGTGTGTTACAGCATTAGAAGGAGTGGTTATAAAGATCTGTCTGATGACCTGACTGCAGTTCTTCCCTTCATTGAATACAAATTAAATGATTGGTTCTAAAACATACAGTATGTCATAGATTTCCTTAAAATTGGTTTAGACAAACAAAAGTTTGTCACCAGAACGCCAGCTCTGATGTCTGCTATTTTACTTTTTTCAAATAGAGCACTGATAAAAGAATCAGATGTACATGCAAGGGCAAACTGCAAACTTTTTTTTGTTGCCATATTTCTACTAAGAGCAGATAACAACTAATTGTATTATAATTGTATTATATATATATATATTATAGTAAACATAACAGTTCAGTAAGTTATATTAAAACAATGAGTTCC